GAGTTCAACACACCTGTAACTTATGAACCTACTGCAATCTATAAACAGTTGAACGTAACGAAGTGGAGTTAAACACACCTGTAACCTATAAACCTACTGTAATCTATAAACAGTTGAACGTAACGAAGTGAAACGAAGTGGAGTTCAACACACCTGTAACCTATGAACCTACTGTAATCTATAAACAGTTGAACGTAACGAAGTGAAACGAAGTGGAGTTCAACACACCTGTAACCTATGAACCTACTGTAATATATAAACAGTTGAACGTAACGAAGTGCAACGAAGTGGAGTTCAACACACCTGTAACCTATAAACCTACTGTAATCTATAAACAGTTGAACGTAACGAAGTGCAACGAAGTGGAGTTCAACACACCTGTAACTTATGAACCTACTGTAATCTATAAACAGTTGAACGTAACGAAGTGCAACGAAGTGGAGTTCAACACACCTGTAACCTATAAACCTACTGTAATCTATAAACAGTTGAACGAAACGAAGTGCAACGAAGTGGAGTTAAACACACCTGTAACCTATAAACCTACTGTAATCTATAAACAGTTGAACGTAACGAAGTGAAACGAAGTGGAGTTCAACACACCTGTAACCTATGAACCTACTGTAATCTATAAACAGTTGAACGTAACGAAGTGAAACGAAGTGGAGTTCAACACACCTGTAACCTATGAACCTACTGTAATCTATAAACAGTTGAACGTAACGAAGTGCAACGAAGTGGAGTTCAACACACCTGTAACCTATGAACCTACTGTAATCTATAAACAGTTGAACGTAACGAAGTGCAACGAAGTGGAGTTCAACACACCTGTAACTTATGAACCTACTGTAATCTATAAACAGTTGAACGTAACGAAGTGCAACGAAGTGGAGTTCAACACACCTGTAACCTATAAACCTACTGTAATCTATAAACAGTTGAACGAAACGAAGTGCAACGAAGTGGAGTTAAACACACCTGTAACCTATAAACCTACTGTAATCTATAAACAGTTGAACGTAACGAAGTGCAACGAAGTGGAGTTCAACACACCTGTAACCTATGAACCTACTGTAATCTATAAACAGTTAAACGTAACGAAGTGCAACGAAGTGGAGTTCAACACACCTGTAACTTATGAACCTACTGTAATCTATAAACAGTTGAACGTAACGAAGTGCAACGAAGTGGAGTTCAACACACCTGTAACTTATGAACCTACTGCAATCTATAAACAGTTGAACGTAACGAAGTGGAGTTAAACACACCTGTAACCTATAAACCTACTGTAATCTATAAACAGTTGAACGTAACGAAGTGAAACGAAGTGGAGTTCAACACACCTGTAACCTATGAACCTACTGTAATCTATAAACAGTTGAACGTAACGAAGTGAAACGAAGTGGAGTTCAACACACCTGTAACCTATGAACCTACTGTAATATATAAACAGTTGAACGTAACGAAGTGCAACGAAGTGGAGTTCAACACACCTGTAACCTATAAACCTACTGTAATCTATAAACAGTTGAACGTAACGAAGTGCAACGAAGTGGAGTTCAACACACCTGTAACCTATAAACCCCCTATAATTTTTATTTCTCTATTGCATTAGAATAAGACTAAAAAGACTAAATTTAAATAATAATTATATAATAAATAATAATTTAATAAGACTAAATTTTCAGATTATATTTAATAAATTTTTATATCCTAGTCAATATTGTTCACAAAGTTTCGAATAAGTGCACTTTGATCTTATCGTATAACTCAACAACTTAAAAACGTGGGCGCATTATAAGAGGAGAAATAAGTTTTCACATAAACTTTATGATAAACTTAAATTAATGCGCCCACGTTTTTAAGTTGTTGAGTTATACGATAAGATCAAAGTGCACTTATTCGAAACTTTGTGAACAATATTGACTAGGATATAAAAATTTATTAAATATAATCTGAAAATTTAAAACCAAATTCTTTACAACCAAGAATAAAAGTTATTTTCTACTTTTTAGTCTACGCGAAAAACGTAGTTTTTTTAAAAAGTTTTTTTTATAAAGTATTTTTTAACTTTCTGATGTGTACAGAATTTATTTCTTTTCAAATTCACATTATTATTTTTTTTTGTTTCGTGAAAACCCGTCGAGACATTCAACGTTGATTTCTTTTCAAGCTCAGATTTTTTTATTCATTTTCATTAAAATAAAATCTTTTAATTTAATTGAAACTGCGATGGACTGAACAACAATACTTAAAAATGCATTTTAATTTTGCAATTATAACAATGAAGGTTGAAGGCTTTAACGAGGACGAGAAAAACCAGATTGAAGTAAACAAATCGTGGACAATGAATCATTATGACATGAAAAAAGAGTTTCTATCAACAATGTATCATGTTAATATGCCATAAAAAAATGCATTTCTATAAATTGCATATCCTGTAGAATTAAAAATCTTTATGGTTGAAATGGAAAGGGATAAAAAAGGAAAGTGTTGATAGGCAGGAACGTAGAGACAGTGTTGAGCACAAACAAAGCACAATGGAAATCTAATTTCGGTTTCCGTTTCCTTAAAGAATAGCTTGACAGTCGAGAAAAAGGCTTTTTTTTCTGGGTAGGAAATAAATTGAAAGGATTAGAAGAGAAATTGCTTGTGCATCCTTAAAAAATTGTGTTTAAAGAAAAAGATGTTTGTGAGCAATTTTTTAAAGATTTTTTCGAGAATCCAAGGGTTGAATCTATGAAATATGGTTTAAAAAAAATGAAAAATAAAAATTTCAAAATAATTGAAAGATAATCCAAGCATGAATAAAATTTCAACATTCATCCCCTTTAAAATTCACTTTTTTCTGTACAAAAAATATTATATTTTAGCTTAATCCTTCAATTATCTGACACATATGCCCAGCCCTTGATTGAATGACGACAGGAAAAAATTCACTTATTTTTTATATTCGATAAAAAAGGGTACAAAAAATTATTTTTTTATATTTTTTCTGTGTGAAATTATTTACCAAAAAAATTAAATTTCATATGGTTCTGCGATACTGCCGGATATTAATGGTAGAGAGAAGGAAGAATAAAGGAATTTGTCACGCAATGCTATAAAATATTGACATAAAACATTCTCATTTCTCTTGATTCCTTTTTTGATAAAAAATTTCACTGAACAATGAAAATTTCGTAATGGATAGATTCGAAAAGAAATTTCAAGAGTTGATGTTTTAAACACGAAGCGCATTTTAGCTGTGTTGAATTTTAAAATATTTCCATTAGTTTACTACAGATTTAAGCTAAAAACGTAACATACTTATTATTTTGAATTTTTGAATTAAAAAAACAAAATGGCGAAAATTTAGCCCACCTAGAAAAGTTTTTCTTGAAATTTTCTATCTTAAATTAAATTAACAGCAGTTTAATTAATATTTTTAGTTTGAAAAACGTGGCAAGCAAGATATTAAACTAATATATCCATTAAAAATCCTCCAAACAGATAAAATACCATCAAAAACCATTTTTTTCTTAATTTAAAAGCTGCGCAAAAATTCAGCAATTAAAATTTATTATCGATTCTTCATCATCTACCCTGCAAATGAAATAATAATAATTTATTGAAGTTTTATGGCATTGCAAATACTTCTTTCAAGTGTCGTTATTTTATGTTTTTTTACGACCCTCTTTACCTTTAATTATGTGAACATAATGCAATCTATGCATTTTTATTATTAATAATTTTAGCACAAAATTTATGGCACTTTAAGATCATGTATTGTTTACCAACCGTGCCTTTTTACGGATTTTTTGTCGTTTCTTCTCAAAATTTACATTTTGGCACTTGAAAATTCGTTCACTTACGCAGGTCAATGGATGAAAAGTGCTGCCTTCTTTTGAAGAGATTTGCATTCAAATGAGATTTAAGCACTCGAAATCTGCAGGTAAGTAGGTGCAAAAATAATAATAAAAGTCATAAAATTTGATTTTTTGAATAATTTTTCTTCTTTATTTTATTCTTTAAAGTACTTTTTAAAGATAAACAGAATTAACTATTTACATTGTTTTTAAGGCAATTTATGGCCTCATAAATTAATCTATTAGCTTATATGGCTAGAATTTTTATTTATTTATTGTCTTCCATTTAATTTTTTTTGTCTTCCATTTACTTAATCTAGTTCTACTATATTAAGGCATTATTATTTTAATTTTATTTAATTTATACATTTAGGATTCTCATTTAAAATTAGAATTGTGAATTAAATTTATTTTTTAGAATGTTTTTGGCTAGGATTTTGAATAGTTATATAAAATATTAAGTTGGGATATAGGTGAAGTGTCTATTATGTGAAAAACGATCTAGTTGTGACCAAAATTTACTGAAAATGATCAATTTGGATCAAAGTCATTCAATTTTACTAAAAAGATTTTAAATAGACACTTCAGGTACATCACAACGAGTTTTGATAGGTTTACGATTAGAACTATGAATAATCATTTTATCAAAAGGTGGCGAAATATCAAAAACTTTGTATCGATTCAAATTTACTTAAATTTTAGCATATTTTTTAAATTAAGTGAGAACTTACTCTACAGTAAAAATATCCCTTAAAATGCTCAACATTTAAAAAAAATTCAAAATAATTTCAAATATTTTTCCAGCTTTTAAATCAATAAATCAAACTATCCATTGACAAATCTATCAAATTTTATACCTCAAAGTCATCGTCATTATCCATTAAGTATCAAAAATATTTCATTTCATTCTCAAAAACTCCCTCTCATGTGATATCCCTCTTGCATGCATGTATGTACATTAAAATATTTCCATCGATTGACTCTTCTACCCTCTTAACAAAGTCATTTATCGATGTATCAAAAAAAAATATAGTTTTAATATTTATAAGCGTTTCATAGCAACTGTGAGTTTCTCAACATTTTTCATTTTCTCTTTTCTTGTTCATTTTCGCAAACATTTCTGAATAAATGTTAATATTTTTTTTGTGTATTGAGCGTATACGTTATGAAAATAACACATTTAGGTAGCCAAAAAAAAAAGAAGGAAAAGAAGAAAAAACAAATGAAATTTTTACATAAAAATACAGAATAAATTTTGAGTGGCTGGTGTCCTTGGGGTGAAATTTGTCAGAACTTTTAAGGCGGTTAAGAAACTTGTAAAGGGGTTTGAATTGTGAATAGATTATGTTGCAATTTTCGAGGTTAAGCTGAATCTGACAAAGTTTTGTAAGGGGTTTAAGAACTCATGCTTACTATTTCCTTGAATTGACGATTACTTGACAAAAAATTCTGACAAATTTAACCAAAATACGTCCCCAACCCTTCCCCACCCAATTAAACAGCCTAAGACGACCCACTTTGACTTAAACTCTGCTGCTGCTCCCACCATTGCATAGCATCAATCATATTCTCATTACTTAATGAATTGTCATCAAAAATTCCATCATCATCAATGATCTCCTGCTTCAATATAAGATTCTCATAGTGACTCGTGTCTGTAGCCGTGCAATGCATCAGCAACTGATCAGAATAAGGCAATTTTTGATCATTTTCAAGCGAGGCAACGCTAGTATTAGTCAAACACGAAAGATGTCCATCTTCCATAATTATATTATTGTTACTGATGTTATCGGTGCCATGCGATGGAGCAGGTGAAAGTGATGAATGTCCACTGTACGGTGAGATCGATCCTGCAGGTGTTTCTGTCGTTGTATTAATTACGCTCGTGCTTGAATTTATTTCATTTACAAAATTCAACGTTGAGCCCATTAAATTATTGCTATTATTGTTGTTGTTATTTAATTGTGTCGTTGGCGATGATGGTGGATGAATTTGTATTGTTGTAAATTCTGTATTTGGATGGATATTCTCCTCATTTTCGAAAATATCATGAGTGACTAGTTGGAATGTGTTTGTGCCTGGAATTCTGATGTATTGTTGGCCACCTATAATTGTTATTTGTGTTTCCATCACACCACTATGTGGTTTAAGTGCATAGAAGAATGGTTGTTGACTTTCAGGTGGTGGAGTTGCAGGCAGGGATGTTTCAGATATTGATGATATATTTGAGAATGTTGTGTTATTGTAATGTGAAGTCATTGACTCAGAATCATTAGATGTGTCCAATGCAAGCATTTGTTCAAGACTTCTGATATATTCTACAGCCATTCTGAGTGTTTCAACTTTGCTCAGCTTTTTTGCACTTCCACGTCCAGCTTGTTCATAGTTGTCAGCAATTTCTGGTGGAATATGATCACGCAGCATTGAAAATCCATTGTTAACTTGCTTGACACGATTTCTTTCTCTTGCATTACGTCTTGCAACAGAAACTGCCGGTGCTGGCTTCACCTTTGTGCTCATGCCGTCTGAAATTCTTCGCTTCTTTGCTGCTGGCTCCTTTTGGTGATTCATTGAAATCTGTCCGAGAACTTGCTTTGCTTCTAATAAAAATTGTTCGGGCATTGATGTCATTTGATTTTCTTTCATCTTTTTGCGCACAATCATGATATTTTGTGATGAATTTTCGATATTGTCGTCGCTTTCTGACTCAATTTTGATTGGGAGTTGGTTGGACTTTTGGTAGATGATGCTCATTGTAGATGTCATTATTATATAATTGACGATACGTGTGTAAGTTACACAGTTGAAAAGATTTGTCCCAAATTAGAATTGATTTTCTAGAATTTTCTTAATTTAACTCGAAGTTTCCGTTAAATTTTGCAATTTTTCTACATTGAGCTACTGCTTTGGATACTATAACAGCTATCACTTAGTTTATAACGACTCCTCACAATTGTCTAACAGTTTATTTCATTGTATTTTAATTAATTCACATTTAAATGTCTTTTGTGTTGTAATTTCTTGGTCGATTGTCGTGTTCTTCTAACTTTTCGGTTGGGTTTTAAAAAAGTTCGTCACTTTTTAGCTGCTGATTGTCTCAGTTGGGTGAGTTTAATTGATAATGAATGTTTTTGTGTTCAATTTTGAAGCTTATATTTTTAATGTTGCCTTAAATTGAACTTTAGATGCAATTTAAAATTATTTTTTGTTCACAAAATGTTCTTTAATTTCCACTTTTTAATTTATTTTGAATTTTATTAAATAAAAAATTGTTTTTGAAATTTCTATAAATTTTTTATAAATTTCAAAGAGTCTTTTTTGACTTTAAAAACAATTTCTTTTTAGCTTTTTAAGTTCCTTTATTCACTGTCCGATCACAATTCTTTCTTACAAAAAAGATTTTTGGTCCTTTGTTACTATTATTCTCGGTCCTTTGATCACACAAAATAAAATAAAAAAAAAAACTAAAAAATAGTAAAATTCTCTCTGACCAGATGTTGTGTCGCGTGCGAGCTGCCAAAAAATGAACTATAAAAATGAAAAACTGAAAAGCGAGACTACAAAAACTGCACTCAACGTGGAGAATAAAAGGAGACACGTAGAGAAATGTGTATTTATTATATATTCATGGATGTATGTGTGTTATGTTATGAATTTTATGTACATAATGGAATTAAAAAAGGGAGAGTAATGTGACGTAAGTACATGAAATTACCCTGTACATCAGGCACGCACACAGTTGTAGCAAATAATTTTGATACAAAAGAGAATTACGTGAAATTGAAAAAAAAATATTGTGGATGTAAGTGTAATTGTAATGTGAAGAAATAAGGATCATGAAAGTGATCGGAGGTACAAGAAGGTTTGTACATAAAAATATCGGGGTAGATTAAAGGGTTTTGTCACTGCTAAGTACACGATGAGATGTTTTATCACGAACTTAAGGACATAAATTTATTGTCAATGTTTTTTAGGGTCTGTAATTTTAAACTCAAGGAATTTATATTAATTATTTTAGTGTTGGAAGTATTAAGTATTTTTAAAAACATTCAGCTTCTATAATTCAGTTCTAGCAATTATGAACCACCTCAAAAACTCATGTGACACTCAACCCAAACCCCTTTCATCCTCCCTTCTTTTTTCAAGTACATAAATTCACTGATAAGTTCTTAACTTACCGTATTTTATGTGCAAATTTTATATTTAGCTCCACCTTTTAATGGCACTGTTAATAACAAGAGACACTCAGGGAATAAAATAATTTTATGTGAAAGGCTTAATGTACATAAATTATTCAAGAATATAAAATATACCCTCAATTATTTTTTTTTAATTTTTACATGTATGTAGATTTATCAATTTCCTCATTTTGATTATTATGTATCAACGTAAGTATTGTGGTGTAATAAACCTGCTTATTCATTTATCGTGAAAAATTATAGAATGAAATATGATTTGATTGTAAGGTTGTGGAAATGTGTGGGTTTAAGTTACTATCGAGTAGTTTATAAAGTTATGGATTCTTACTTGCTTAATCAGTCTGTGTTCAAGTTTGACATTAGAAGTCATCGAAGACTCCAAACCCCATCATGCATCAACATAAGGATCTCACTGAGCGACACAAAGCTCATTCCGGTGATCATTTAGGAGTCGACCTATAAACTAGTCATTTTCTCTGAAGTTGGAACCTACAATGAGCTTCATCCTAATTTATTTCAAAATCTAGGTCACACAGACAAGCTCAATCTCAGCATCACGAGTAAAAATAAATAACAAAGCATGAATCTCGATACACAACATTAATCTTCATTGATGTCGAGGAACAAAAATTGCTTCTTTCAGGATTTAAATTTGCAATAATTCTTGTTTCATCTACGCACAAATACATCGAGGATAAAAATAAATAAATTGTAAACATTTTTCATAGCCTATTGTTCAGGACCTTTTTTTTGTAGGATCTCCTATTTCTCTCGTACTCTGTCTCTCTCTGGATCGAATTTAATTTTCGGGAGAAATAACAACAAAAAGCATTAATTCATTTTTATTTCTTGTATATAAAAATGCTAGGGTCGCCAAATGGTCTATTGTTGTTCAGTTTTGTGTGTGTATTTGTGTTGCTGCTTATTTACCTTTCTAGTTCTTTATACATTCTATTGAAAAAGGTATAAATAATGACACAGGAATGTATTCGAATTGGTTGAATGAATTATACAATTTTTCAGGTACCCCTAAATGCACCCCATGATTTTAGTCGAAAAACTTTCTTAATTCTTTTTGAGGTTTTCAACTCATTTCACTTTCATTATAAGCCTTTTGTTTTCAATGCTTTTGTGAAATAGCGACTTGAAGCTGCTTTTGATGAGTCTAAAGTCGAATCAATTTTGTAGTAAATAGAGCGTGGTTTTTGTTTGTTTGATGAGCAGCGGATAGAATGTTAAAAGGATTTTGATCGATTTGAAAAATTCTTTCATTTGGCAATGTTTAAAGGTTGATTTTATAAATTATAATGTTAATTAAAATATTTCTAAATGTGGTTTTAAAATTGAAATAAATTCTGAATTTTCTAAAATGACTCAATTTTTTTGTAGGCCTCATCAAGAGATGTGAGGCGGAAGCGTACCTGAGGGGTAACCATGACTTTTTCCGGGCTAGGCAGTGGTCCAACAAACCCCTCGATTGAACTTATTAAAATATTTTAAAATCCTGTTTGAGTTGGAAATTTGATAAAATATAAAAATATGAAAAAAATTGGAATTCCTGCAACCCGGATAACATAAGAATTAAATTCCTCACTAAGCAATGTTTGTGATTAGATAGAATATAATATTTTTTATCCAAAGATTTATTTCAAATCCAAAATCTTCATATTGAATCTTCAAGAAAAAAAAAACAAGAATTCACGACTTGAAACCAATATCCAAAATATTTTCATTTTTCCTGCCATAAACTTCCTTTCAATATTTATTTAAAGTCGTTCATCATTCTCTTAAAATTTTTATGTATTTTTAAACGTTTTAATATGAAATAATTTAACGTTTCCTCATTCGCATCGCTAGCAACATACACAAATATCAACAATTGAATCAAGTTCAAGTTCCCTTTCTTGTAAAAATATCCGTAAACTTCCCATTTATTATTTTCTATTGAAAAATAAAATTGTCTTTAAAACGCGAAACGACTTGTTTTTGTTTGTGTAAATTTGAACATTATGTAGATTAGATTCTTTTTTTCTATTCAACGATATTCTTTTGAGACAACAAGTTAATTTAGACACTGTGTTCAGTCATGAAATAAAAATTTCGTTAGAAACGACGGAAAAAAAAGTCCGTTGAATGCCACATGTGTTTCCAACATGATTTTTCTCATCACAAAATTGGAAATTTTTGGTTGATTTTTTTCAATATATTTTAAGAAATTTCTCACATCCTGTCAGCTAGGAATTGATTTTTGTTCATTCTCAACCACATCAGACTCGTTATGTTATGCATCATGTGACACTTTTTTATCTGTAAATTATTATTTTTTTTCCTCAATTTTATGTTATTGAATGTAAAGCAATTCGTTCTATGACAAATGACATGACATGTAATCGAATTTCATGTGCACCATTTGGATTTAGAAGCTAAGACAGTCTGACAATCTAGCAAAACCTATCTCGTATTTTAAAAAATCATAAAAAAATTCAACAGCCTCATCGCTGGTGCAGAAAAGCATTAAAAATCGCGAAATATCCCTCTTTGTTATTTAATTCTTCTATTTTTAATTTCATTTCATTCTATTCAGTCAGGCACTATGACAGGTATTGAAAATTATGGTTTTCAATTGCGCAAAAATTTGCGCGTAGGGAATATGAAACTTTAGATCCGGTAATGCCTGTTTCTATTTTTTATTGTATTGTATACTTAACGCGATAGTAAGGTCTTTATATGCACATATCTACACACAATAGTTTTTAATAATACAACATAAATCTACTTCAACTAAAATAATAATATATGATTGGGTGGAAATGGAAGGTTGGAATTGAAAAAAATTAATTTTAAACTTGTAGTTGTTTTGCAACCCCGAGAGTAACAGTTATGGATATCTATGCAAGGGTCTTGTTGTGTGTATTTTTAAAAAATCTGAATTCTATGTTAAAAATAATAATTGAATGAAAATAAAAAAAGTAATTTTCACTACCTATGTGATACTTATAATTATCTTTTAGCATATAAATTGGATTTGAATGCTCTACTTTGGTTTGAATTTGACAAACTGGTCTGGAAAATGGAATTAATATTTTTAATAAAAAAATAAATAAAATCTTAAAAAAGTTTTAAGTGGCGGAAGATATGAAATCGAATTTAAATATATGAATGGAAGGATTCGAACTTCTGAATTATTAGGTTTAAATGAGTTTTCTTACAATTTCTTTAGGTAATCCTTTGGCATTTACAGAGCCTTACTTTCAACAGATAATAACTTGTCAAAAATGCGTCTTATTTGATGAAATTCCAAGAAATTATTAACTTTTAAAATTTCTATATTCCAAAAAGCTACCACTACCCTCCCTACATACAAAAAAAAATAACTCACAACACCATGGAATTAATAATTATTGTTGTGTAAATGATGATTAACATCGTAAAATCTACAACCTTATAAATTTTTACACCAAAAAAAATTCTAGAAAATCCTCAGAGACAAAAGAAAAATTTTTATTTTCATTGCAATTTCTAGTTGACATTTATCTTTTTCTACTTTCCTTTTTGTATGCTATTCTGATTTACTACTGTTAGGGATTGCCAATAGACAACATAGTGAGAAATAAAGAAATAATAATGAATTATAGCTTATTGCTTTATTTTTACTTTTTGTTTATTTTTCTGTGTGTGATCTTGTGAAATTGATCGGTTTTTTTTGGTGTGATTTACTTTATTTTATTGCGATTGAAAGGAATTTAGCGGTACCTTGCATTATAAATTAGAACTAGTGGATATTTGACAACTTAAATCAAGCTAAATTTAACTTATTTAATTCAATTAAAAATCACTTCTTAAACTTCACTTTCCACACAAAACTCCGTCCACCTACCAATTTCCCATTCAACTCTCTGCCACTACTTCTCTCTTTTCT